AAAGTAAAAGGATTTGCAATTCTGAAGATCTAAACGAGTCTACTAGTACAGTGAATTTGTAGAGCAACCAGGGTTATTGTTGCCAAGAAGTATTGGAAAGAGCATTACGAAATTTTTCACCTATTAATATTAAGAGTCCTTTCTGATATAATAAAAGTCCGACGAAAATATATAAGAATCAGGAGATGAATAATAACTAGTGCTTCAAAATAGGTTCTAAAGTCAGTTCGATTTGATAGCTTCTAGGAAGTTCATTAAGCTCCTCACAGCCTTCTAACATGTTCAAAAACTGTATATGGTCACGAAAGGCACATATAACAACCAAGGTGTCAGATTTGATGGAACTGAAAGGTTTTATTTCGAAACCGATAGCTGAAATCAGTTATATTCAATAACCAACTGCTAACGACGACAAAGATTTTTAATACTATTTCGCTTAAAGACTTCGAAAAGCTATATTTAAGGATAACACAGCTTCTCTCAGCTAACTCATTTGCATACATGCGTCAGTCTACGCGCCATTCGCATTGTGTTTATATCATTGAAAAAGATTAGAAGATTCAAGCGAATGACGGATTGAGTAAATACAAGGAAATACTAAGCAGCCGTGTGTGAACAATTTATGCGATTTACAGCCATTCTACCTACTTACCAACTTACGCGTGCCTTTTATGCGTTGAGAATGCGGAAAAAAAACTTCTAAGCCAACGAAAGATAAATAATAGCAGGAAAAAAGAAAATATTTGCAACCAACAAACTAAGCGGGTTGGAGGGTTGAAACTTCGGCGCAATGTCATGACAGATATAAAAACGGTAGTTGTGGTTTACTGCCGCCATCGCTTCGTACGTAGCTTTAAGTCTTACCACCCATTCTCAGCAGTGCTCACTTTCATACCAATTCGTTTTCGCTCCTTCTAGCAATTTACAGTGAAAATATTGTAGCCACACCGGCACTTCTTTAAGGCTTAGCTGCCTAATCAAACGCTTCATCGAGCGCCTTTCGAGCTTTAAATTTTATTTGGATTTTCAAACTACCAGCGCAAAACAGCCAAGCCAAGTGGGCCGTGCCACCATGTGTGGCGCAACATTTAAGACACGCACTGCAACTAAGCACAACATCTGAGTGATATTTAGCTGGCGTTAAATTGAAAAAATTAAGTAAATGTGGCAAGGTTGGTCAGGAGAAAACGAAAACTTAAAGCCACTTCGAAAGTTATAAATAAGTAAGCAAGCCACAGTCTACGCAAAGAAATTTGTATTCAAAATTTCAAGCTCAGTCTCTCGTTCGTGATACAGTCCACTAGTTCCAATGGAGCCATTGTGCTTGCCTCACAGCTAGTTGGTAGCTGACATAACTTAAAAAGTGAATGCCAAATCGCTTCACAATTGTCGTTTCCATTAATCAACCCACGACTGTATTCTTAATATTTTTAGCCACATGCACGCTCATCCGCGCGAATTTTACTTACTGCTACGCTTTTAACATTTTCCGCATGCAAAATTGTTGTTTATGCTGATGATGCTGATGGGCAGCACTATTATGCTGATGCACATAGCAATGAAGATGATGATGTTGATGATGATGGAAGCAATTATATAAGCAAAAACGCTGTTGACTATAATGATGCGCGTGTCGAAGTTATTGCTGCTGTTGTTCTACATGTTGTTCACACGTTTCTTTCTTTTTTACGCGCCGTCGATGTTGTGCCACCGCGCTTTTTTTCGCCCGCAACGAGCATAACCAACACATGCATATGCAAACACATATATTATATGTAACATACACACATAACTGCATATTCACATTTCATGATATGCCGCCATGTTTGCGTGCCACAAGCCATTCGCCAACCGCCAACAATTGTTGCTGTCACTGTTTATTGTTGGCAATTTAGTCAAGTAAAAAACAAAATGCGAAAAAATCGCAATAAAAACGAAAAACAAAAGAAAATGATAAAAATCGTGAAAGGTGGGAAGTGCACGTAAAGAGACGGGAGGAAAGTAGCGTACGCGTAAAGAGGAAGAGCAGTGCATGGAAGGGCAGCAGAAGCTCGGAGTGAAATTGAAATCAGGCAAATGTAAGTAGACAAGCAACAAGAAAATCACTTTATGAGCTGAGCAAGTAAATGGCTTGGGGATTGCTGTCAAGGTGTGGAGCTCACGGCACTTTATTGCTTGGTATAATATTATTTACCGAAATGCAAAGCACACGTCGTAAAAGCAAGGGATTTAATATTAAATTATATTACTTGCGAAGTCAAGCAGCTTTTGTAGAACGAGCATAGAAATAGAATATAATAGTTTATCTATAGCTCTCACTTCAAACACTGAGCGCAACAAACGAAAGAGCTGACACTTACGCACTATAGACCAAGTGTCTCTGTATAATTTTACAACTGAAACAGCAGTCTTGGCGTGTATATAAAGCTGTCAGTTGTAGAGCTTGCTCTCTAGGCAAATATATCTAAACATTTTAGTTCGAAAAAATATCAAGCGAGCAAAGTGTTTCAAAAGTAATATTTGCCCGATTAGTATTTTTTTAGCTGGTTCTGAAAACACATTTTTGGAGAGCAGCAGAATTTATAACACAACGCTGGCCTTGTTTGTTTTAGACAAGAGAGCTCCGCCAGCTAGTTGCAAAATTCGAAGTGCAAAGTTTACGTTACTGTACTGTAGTAAAAAAAAACTATAGTAAAAAATAGCGAAAAATCATGCGGAACAAATTAGAATATTGGAAACGCAATGAATCAAGCGAAACGAATTGGAATATTCGAAACGGTTTGACTAACGTAGTAAAATAGTAACAAAAACATGTGAAACGAAATGGAATATTCGAAACGGTATGAATTGGAATATACGAAACAGCAAGAAATATTAATTATAAGCAGTTAAAAGCTTTCACAAAGAAAAAACGTGCAAATTAGTTTAAAAAATTTGTAAATAGCTTAAAGTTGTTCACTAAAAATAATGAAAATATACAAAATTCCTGCGCGAAATAAACATTCAGTTTTATTTTAACGGTTCAACTAGAATGCAGTAGTACGTAAATGTATTTTATAAACTTTAAAAACGCTCACCACGGCTGCGCAAGTAAGCCGCGGTAGCACCAAAGTTGGTGCATAAGTCTTGATTAAGTCCAGCCAACACAGCACGAAAACCCAACCAAAATATTTACCAATTGTCTCGGTTACGTATACGTCACGTACAACACGAACACAAACATAGCTGTTACTGAATAACTGTAACTGACATGCAATGAAATTTATGACGCTGAACACTCAACTGACCTACACTAAGTTACTACGCGCACAATGTGGCGCTTGCACACATACTTACAAACATGCAAGCACACGCATGTGCGACTAAGAGCGTGCACATATATGTAAGTATATACATACGTGGGAGTACCCTTACAGCTTTCTTTGCGCACCTAACGCTGATATTTTATTCCAGCAAAGCTCAAAATATTTTTTATTATAAATTTTTGGTGCGTTTTTTATTTGATATTTCTTTGCTTTTATATTTTCGACATATTTACAGTTATTCCTTTACAACTTTCCACTAAATGAGTTTGTCAATATTTGCTCGCCTTTCATATTTCCTTGCAACAAACTCCATTTGCCGTAATTTTAAGTTTATTTCATTTTGCACTTTTCCATTTTGTCGCACCATATTTTCGCCAATTCTCAGTCTCTCTTCCTTGCGAACACATGTTCAAGCGTACCACGCGCCCGCGTTTAGCCATGTCGGTCACGTTTCTTGGCCAACATATTTCACTCGCTGCCACACAATCACCTTTCGCTCTGCACACTCAGTCACACAAACGCGCGCCAGCTTTCCAACCTCCTCTCGCGCTACTCTTAGTCGTGCACGGTTGCTGTTGTTGTTCTTCTGTTCTTCTGTTGATGGCTGTGTCTTACATGTGTAAATGGCGTTAGCTGTCGGTCGGTTGCTTGTTTGGGTCGTGCGGTCACACAGCCGCTTGGCGATTCGCACGCACAAATGTGAAAGAGCGCAGAGTGAGTTGGTGGGAGAAAAGCAGTGCCAACATTTTTGCAATTTATGTCCATTTGGTGTGTTCGCGTGTCATAAAATCGCATACACACATACACTAAAACAAACACACAACTTTTCAACATTTCATATACTCACATGTACTCATGCGCTTGGTGAAGTGGAAAATCAAATATACTGCCAACAAATGTAGACAAATAAACGCAGACATTCGGGCATTATGTGCCAGCATTTTCACCCAAAGGTATAAACATAATATATTTACCTACATACATATGTTTATAAAATCTTATGATTTTTCAACATTTGTTGAAGCGATAAATTTTCAGTGCTTATATTTTTATGGCATTTTTTATGTGATTTGAGTGCATTAAGCGAGTGCTCGGTTCAATACTTTACGGTGTTAACCGTTTTTTTATATTTTTTTATATATTAGTAGTATATATTAATAATATTTAATAAAGTACTTAGACTTATACTCATACTCATTGTTATATTTCTACTCATACGTAAATTTATATTTATACTATAATATACTCATCATACTTATACTCATACTCCTATTTATATACATACTTATACTCATACTCATATTTATAAACATATTTTTACTCATACTCATGCTTATACTCATTTTCATGATTACACTCATATTCAAACTTATAATCATACTTATATTTATACCCATACTTATTTTCATACTTATACTCATATTCAAACTTATACCCATACTTTTATTCACACTTTATACTTATAATTATACTTATAATTATACCCATACTTATTTTCATAATTCATGCTTATACTCATATTCACACTCGTAATCATACTTACATATTTACAACCATTTTTAAAATCATAATTATATTCATCACACATATACTCATTCTTATGTATATTTAAACTCATATTTATAATCGTATTCCTTCTCTTACTCATACTTATGTTATTGTTATTGTTCCAGGTTACGTATTGCTGCACACATTCCAAAACTCAATCAACTTCAAATCAAAGTTCGATATGTTCAGCTGCTGCTGCATTTACTTTCGACACTCCCTCGTCTTTCTTTCGACTGTTTGTGGTTTCTACTGGTTTATCTTCCAATACAGCCTCTGGTGTATCAGGCACCTGCACCCACCGCAGCAGTCCCAGTTGCCGCAATACAGCCTGCGTTTTCTCCACTAACGGCTGCTTATAGCGCCATATCACATCGTCGATGACGGGATTCTCTAGCGTTTCGGGTATGTCCGGTTCACGGTAGTGTTGCAATTGGCCTATGGACTCGTTGACGGTTCGCATGCCACAACCAGCTACCCAATGCATTACATAGTGATTATGTACACCGGTAACATAACGTGCACTGTGAAAGCATTTTGTAGCCAAACCTGGTTCTAAATGCTCTGCCACGCGTGCTACATGTTGCAACATGTACATATAATGTGGCGGGGCATCGCTGTGCGGCTTGCGTTCGGGATAAGCTGGAAAATAGACATTACGAAAGCACAGTGACGTCGCGCCATCTGCACAATTGTCGGCGCGCACGTTGGTCTCAGCGGTTTGCGCCACTTCCGCCCAGTTGCGGTGTGCGCCCATGGGCATGATCACCTCATCCACATCAACTATAACTACATAATCATACTTATACATATTGCGATAGAAGCAATCGTTTAATGGTATCAATTCATTGACGCAATGATTGCTATACCAAGCTTTTATCGCCTCATATGTAAAATGTGGCAAGGCTGGCTCGCCGCGTATTAGTGATATACCCGGTGCTGAAACAAAACCTTCAGCTTCGTAGTGCCGCAGCACTCTTGTGGCATTCGGATGTATGCCGAACGTAGGTAACGTCACATGTTCGGCACCCAATAGCCGTAAAAGCTCCAACCATTCAACTAAACGCACCGAGTTATCGCGATATGGATTAAAGAGCCCTGTCGAACAAACCGCGAAGCCATGCTGTGCTTGATTTACGGGCGGTTCATAGATCACACGCAGATTATTTGTGGCGCGTGCACACTCCGACGCCACTAACGAAACAGTTTTCGGCACTAAATGTTGCACTTCCGCCGGCACTCAACGAATTTGGGAAAATATAGCTCTGGACTATCAGCCCATGCCTTATACCAGATCTCACGGTACTCGCGCACCGGCACAATAAACGGCACACTGTGCTCTTCATACCACAGCTGGCAAAAACTGGGAGGATAGTCTTTGTGGTCGATTTCAATCACATTGGTTGTAGCGAGTATACGCACCAGCGCCACACCTGCGCTATTCATTACAGCTGTGCGATGTACTTGCCAATAAGTGTTGTGAAATTGTAATTGCAACAATTCGGCATATGGCGCACAGCTGTCGTTGAGACGTAGATTATCGTTGCGATGTCGTTTCATAAAATCCAGCGGCAATGATGGCAACTCCTGCGCGATAAACGTGTGTATGGCTTCCTCGCTCGGCGCTAAAGCGAAGTAGTTGTAGTAAGTTAACTTTCAAGTTGAAAGCGTACAAAACTAAAGTATGTAGTATGCAAACTCACGTGGTCGTCGGTCTACAAACAGTTCTTCCTTCAACGAACTAGATTTCGGTACGTCCTTGGCATATGCGTATTGTGCCGTCCAAGCGCTAATATACAGCAACTGCCAGCAGCAGCGTTGAATTGCTCTAAGTCGCATGGTAGTTGCATACACTTTAACAGACCAATTCTAAATTCTAGTTAGTTTTATTACGCATTCTTGTACCACGAAGTGATCGATGACACGGTAGATAAAATTAGTTGTTGTGCAAAAATGCATTAATATTATTACTTATGTTATACCGTATATGTATGCATGTTTTTACATTGCAACATTTCCGGCAAGCACAAAATTTAATGGAGAAACTGCAAACAGCCTAAAATCGTGTTCAGAAGAACAAAGTCACAGGTTGTTTCACTCACATTCCCAGTAGGTAATGGTTTATTAAGAAACCTTTGACTCATATTCTAAAAATTTCCTACGAAACGGTATATCTGGTTCGCTACTGCTTTGAACTACTTCGAGCTGAACTCGCGTAGCATCAACTTCAAGCTGAACACGCGTAGCATCAACGTAGACACAGTTGTACGCCGCTCTGATTCAAGCAGTCATACAGTAGGGCTACATACTTGGAGGGTACATGACTGTCTATTACAAGTAGTAAGTGCCAAACCACTCAGGCAGACTCAGTTATCGTAGATACACAAGGTTTCCCCAAGAAATTGTTCGAGTGATAAGAAATTTAATTTTTTCAATATTATTACGTTATATTGAGATGACTGCGCAGTTAGTTCTCGAAAATACTTTCTATAGTCCGTAAATACCCACATTGAGACCACAGAGTTTGTAGTACTTACAGTTACTCTATCAGCTGGGGTAGAGTCAGGGCAAGGTTTCACTCCTTCTTATTTCGAGGAACGAAGAAAAAATATTGCAAAACAACTACTATAGCCGGACGTTTATACTTTCTTTATACAATTAACATATTCTGTAATATTTGCTGATGACTATAGGCTGTTATAAGTATCGGACTCACAGTAAACTTGTACTTTGAGCTTTGACGTTGTTACTCAATGTGTCAAGCGTATGAAAATGTATGGTCTTTTATCTAATCAGCACACAAAAGTCTATGAATTGATAATGCTAAAAAGAAATAAATAAAACAAGGTGAGCAACTAAAAAACGCACTTATTAAATGACAAATATTATATGTGTAGGTAAATTGTAGCGAACAGCTGTGGCGAAGCTGTTTGTCTAGCAACAACAAATGTTGAAGCAAAGTAACGGTCGATAGCTGATCAGGAAGTTTAGTACATAAACTGTTGCGACTAGTCTGCTAGCCCTTAGAGGTATGCAAATATGGTTATAAACTTTTGTGCGAAGTACGAAAGCCATGTAGTCTTTAACAGTCAGAAGTTCTCGTATTTTGTCCGTAGCTCTTATGGGTGAAAATAGCTCCTGATCTACCACAAGTAGGCGTAGTAAAGCTTCGACCGGACCGAAGCGAACTCCGTAACGATTTTTGCGAGCAGTCAGATTCCTCTTTCGCTAAACAAAGTTTAAGAAAAGTATGTAAAATATATCTTACTAATAAACACTGTTCATGCTGACAGCAGAGTATACATGTATAGTAGAGATTAGTTTGTAAATGAGAGTTGAGAAAACAAACAGTTTAGAAATTGGTTTTATAAGAAAGCTCTGAGCTATTTGCACCATTAGATCGTAACGGCCGAGGTAATACTCTTACATAGATATTTGGATAATTAAAATAAGAACTAGTGATAACGGAAGTTCAAATCCGAAGAACAGCAGTTTCGCAAGACACTATTAGAGAGTTAGATTCCACACTTAGGAAGAGCGGACTGCAGCTGAAACGACTAAGAAAACGAGTATGAATCAGTCACTCCACATTTATTCAACAGTCAACGTTAGGCAGACGCTTTAGATCTGCAGATTTTTCATAGACTAATCGGTAGAAAGACCTTCAAGTTTATTTAGCTAGGTCCGGCTTTGTGGTAAAATTTATTGCGCGAAACACAACCTCTATATATTATATTTTCCTATTTATTTAACCTAACCTCAAATTTGAAGCTTACGACTTAGCTTAGCTTAGAAGAAGCTTCACTTAAGTTCGACACGCGCATTAATGTGGCTATTTACACTCAGTGTTACAGTTAGCAAGTTTCCCAAGAATTTTTGTGTATAATCGAACTAGAAAGTAAGTTATAAAAATATATATGGTATAAATAAATACTGCGCAAAGTATTTCCCCACAAACAAAATGTAGAAAAATAGCTAATCTAACAAGCACATATGTTGTAGCAGTATGCTCTTTGTGTTTATGACGCCCATTAGTATTCACACACAAATACCGTTATACCCAATTATACACAAACCAATATGAAATAGCGCCTACTATCGGCGTTTGCCGATAAGATAAGATAAATATTTATATGCCTTTATATTGGCGGTCACAATGGGTTACCTTGAAGTCGAGGCGCTTGGCAATCGTTTCAAGTCAGCGCCAAATTAGTTCGATACGCGTCGCGCGCAAAGGAAGTTGATAATTCGCAATAAACGTATAACGGTAAAGAAAATGCAGAAACTGCAATTGCTTTGTGTGCTCACGGTGGCGATTTTAGCTATCTTCCTACAGTGCAAATGTCAAGCAGCGGCGTCAAATAGTCAATTAGACGCGCTGAAGCAACAATTGCTGCCCGCTGAGTACAAAAATCGCAATTTTACTGTGGGTACGTAGCAATAAAAATATGTGTGTGTATATATTTTTAAGCAAACAATTTTCGTTTAACTAAATTCCATGCTATTTCTGCCAACAACCAGATGAGCTGAAGAAAGTGCTGCACGAAAAGTGTAAAAAGGCGACGGGCGGTGAAGAGAACTCCCCACTGTATCAGGAGATTGAGAAGGGCAGCACTGTGTTGACCAGCTGTCTGGCCGATTTGGCCAATATGACAGCGTTGCAGCAAGAAATCGAGGCGGCACGCCCCATCGGCGAACTGGACACAGTCTTCAATAAATATTGTGATAAGGCGCCGGCTGCCGCCAAGTGTCTGCGCGACTTCAATACCAAAGTACAACCCTGTCTGAACGCCAAGGAGAAACAGCAGAATATCGTGTTCATGCGCATCGTTACAGGTCTGCTTGATTTCATGTGTTCGCGTGGCGGCGATCATATAGCACTTTTCGTTGCCGAGGAGGGACCCGAGTGTTTGGAGGCGAATCGTGATGCAATCAATATGTGTTTAAATAGCTCATTCCATGAATTTCTGCCCAAGGACTTTAAGGTGCCCGATCTCTTCGATTTGCCCGATTTAGTGTTAGAACCAAGTCATTGTGTCGATCTGGAACGTTTCCAAAGCTGTACCATACACCATTTGGAGCAGTGTCGCGAAATTACACCCGCTAATGTAGCCGAGGCGGTGTTTAAGTTCATTAAGAACGAAACAAGCTGCAATCAATATATGCAAGCGAAGCCCAATCAGCGTCCGATATTAATGAAGGCCAGCGCTGGTGGCGGCGGTGTGGCAATACAAACGTCGAGCTTATTTATTTTGTTACTGGGTAGCGGTTTAATGTTGTTCGTGAGTCATATACTGAAGTTGTGAAGCGGTCGATTGCACTTATCGATTAAAACCAGTTTCGATAATACTTAATAGGATATGTTGATTATTATTTCGTAAGTAAAACGAACAAATATTTGTCCAAATAAAATCGATTATTATCGATAAGTGTTGACTAACATGTAGATATAAAATTGAGAAATCGATTTTCTCACAACTCAATAGTAAAGATCAGCACAATATATCAAAACTTTAGATGCGTTACTTTTTTAATAATTTTTTGATAATAAATCGATGTATTTATACTCTTTTTTTTGAATTACTCTCTTCGACCTCTTGCTTGAAATTATATTTTTTAAAGCGATATAAATTATCATGCATAATGCAAGAGCATGCTTATTTCCTAGCGGAAATGATCACACACGCGGAAGCTTTGTTCATCCTTATTCAGCGCAGTAGTCTGTGTAGTGAATACCAAACGTAAATTGGGTTTTCGGCAAGTGAGAACACATAAAGCTTCTCCTATACTCATCAATACTCTGTGGTATAAAAATCGTGGTTTTGAATTGGACTAAAAGTTAGGGAAAACTGTAGCAGTCTCATAAGAATTTTTTGGGGAGCTGTGAACCAAAGTACCTAATGCGGTTTGAGCAAGAAACGTTTCACTTATTCTTCTCGGTGATTTATGAGCTAGAAGCCTTGAAACGGCTATGAAAATGCAGAAATGTTAAAGCCTCATTTTTCTCACAGCACTGCGCATTCAGTTCGAACCAATTTCAAACTAAAGTCCCTTATAAGGGAGCAGTATGAGTTTGCTTCGATAGCAACGATTTCTGCAATATATATTATACGTAGACTGTACTTGAAGCTTGATATAAGAACAATAATAGTCACTCCGCCATTAATAGATTCATTCTGCTGAATTGAATAGATGCATAGCTGCTCATGGCCTCCAAAACTCAATAAGCAATGCGATTCACTCATTTATAAAGTCAATCATTTCATTTATTACTGCAATTGCATTATATGACCTCACCGTTCTATGAAGACACTTAAAGAAATAGTAATTTACTTACTAAATACTTTGCTAATTTTGATTCATACCAGCTTTTACCTAATACCTAAAAGCGAACATATGTAAAACGAGGTACTCTAAACACCCTATCGCTTATGCCGTTCGCATTATCACCGCAAATAGGACAAGTTTTTCAACACCGATTCCACGCTATTCACCAACGCGTCCTTGTAACGATAGATACTTTCATCGAGTATCTTCGTAACCCATTCCGCCGGCTTCTTCAACTGACGATAGTGTTGCAGTTGCGCCATGGTCGGCTCCAAGTCCCTCCAACGACAACTCTTCAAAGTCTGTAAATTGTAGTGATTGTGCAAAATCAGCACCTCGCTGCTATTTTGAAAGCACTTAGCGCCTTTACCAACTTCTTCATGTTCCCGTCGATGTACATGCTGCAACATGAACATATGCCGCGGTGCTGCCGACCTTTCAGTGTAGTTTAGACCATTAATGGGGAAATGCACATTGCGCACACAAACACTCCCATAGCCCTCTGGACAACTAGATGCACGCAAATGCTCCGTTTCGTCGATTAACTGTTGCCAGTTGGTGAGATTGCCGAGCGGCATGATCACCTCGTCTATATCGACAGTCACAATATATGAATACTTGTACATATTCCGATAGAAACAATCATTGTAGGGCACCAGCTCGTTTATGCGCTTGTTCGCAATGCTCGCGCGCAGATAATCATGCAGATACAGCGGTTTACTCACCATATCCGAACCCATACTCAGCGGATGTACTTCGACGAAACCCTCCGCCACATAATGCTCCAACACACGCTCCAAATTCGGATGCAACGCCAATTTGTATGTGATGACCTTACGTGCGCCCAACAAACGCTGCATTTCCAACCACTCCACCAAACGCGGACCCATATCAGCATAAGGATAATCCAAACCCTTTAGACAAACCGCGAAACCGTGTTGTGTCTCATTACCGATCGGTCGTTCGTAGCGTACGCGCAGTATATTCGAGGCCGTGTCACAAATATTCATCACCAAGGAGACGGCGTGCGGTGCGACGTCCACCCGCGTTACCGTGGGCACTGCGCATGTGAGTAAGTGTAGCAAATAATCAGCATTGGTTTTCCATTTCAAGTACCACACCAGCCGTTGCTCTATCACGGGTACAATCGTCGGCTTATCATTACTATCATACCACAACTGACAGTGGATTGTATTTTTCGGTGGTTTCTTAGTATTCAACATGGCAAGCACGCGCACCACTGCGCTGGACTGTGTGACATGCGCGCGCGCATCGAAATATGCATTGAAGAGATGGTAATTGACATTGCCGTTATGAAATACCTGCCAATAATCATTGTGAAAACGCAGGTCAGACAGCGATGGCGCGCGGGCGCAAGTGTTATTTAGACGCATCACTTTCAGGCGATGCCACAAATCGAAGGGCATATTTGGCAACTCTGCTTCATATAGTTTTAATCTGTCGTTCGCTTGATTTGCTGTGAATTGATGGGGTGGTTAAAGAACAAACGTTAATGGAATGCGAGCACAATCGACTAGAAACAGATTTTTTTTACTTACGTATTCCATTTATTATTAAGTCGGTTTGCTTTATAGCCGCCGTTACATTGTACCAGTGGCCTGTCTGCTTAGTGCTTTGCAATGACATTTGGTATGTCTTAAATATCACCAGTGTTATGAGTAGCCAAAATGTAAACGCGAAGGCTCTTAATAAATTGTTTTTACTAAATGTCATCTTCGTACTAAGCGCTTAAAGAAAAATGACTAAAGTCGAAAATATAACAATATGAATGATGAAAATATTGACAAACAGCACTAGCGCAAGCTAAGCTGAGCTATGACACAAAGACATTAAGTGAATGGAATTAATATATTTTAGTACAAGCACAAATAAAAGATTATTTTCTTTGATCTTACAGTGCCTTAGTTTGAGTGAAGCCTAAGTAAAGCTACGTCTTAACGCGGTTAATGCTACCAAGCAACCTTGAGTTTCCTATAACGTTATAAGTTAATCTAAATATTTTCGCCAACTTGTGTAAATTCCTACACATTAAGTTAGTCAACAATGTGCCCACTGTTTACTACTGTGGCGTTGTGTGATGTGAATTATGTATATCGTCGAGGTTAAAGCTTAAGCGCAGGTTTTTTCAAAAATAACTAGAGCTCTTTGTGTTACTTTATCTCGTCTCTACATTTTTACCGAAATCATAATTTCATAGATCCGCAACTACCTTTAATCTTACGACAGAACTGTAGTATCCGCCGTCTGCTGCATGGCGCCTCTAGAGACAGTATAAGTATCACTGTAATTGCCTGAGATGGGGACTATCTAACATTTCCATTGAATCTACATTTATAATGAGTTTAAAGGCCGCTTTGTGTTCACTCTCTGTAATTACTTTTTCTTCTTCGATGTGGCTGTCAATGGTGCACTTTATTGGTTATATTTTTCTACGACTTCTGACATTATTGTGCAACATGTCCCTAGCCTCAGTAACGTTCAGTGGCGCAGTCATACTACGCTTCTCTTTTTTCCAAAGAGATAGTGATCTTCCTGTCTCTGCGTTGGCTTGCCGTGATACGCTTCACGACTTGCCTGAACTTCAAGTTTTGTAACTTATTTTCACTAACGAACCTCATAGCTGTACGGTTAGGTTTTAAATTCACACGGAAGTTGTCAAACTTAGGTGTGTTTATTGTTAGATGATTCTTCAAAACAATGCCAAGTTTCATAATAGTAAATAAACTCGGTAAATGAAATCTATTTCGTTGAGGTTTATTGTCTTTTCCATATACTGCTGCTGTCCGCATTATGTGAAATAACGCTATGAAAACATATATGTTATTTTTCGGGCTATTATTTAGCACTATATAGACTAGATTTCCAAATTCATGCCACACAATTTCCACGCATTAAACTAGAACTTGCAGCCACCTCACTAAATTGCACTCTCTCTACCCCCAACTGAATTTAATTTCACTTAAATATTCATTATCAGAAATCATCTTGCCGCTGCGCTAAAACTGTCTCGCAAAATTTATGGCATACTCACAATAAAATGTCGTAAATATATATCCGTGCGCTACTACAACGCCACGCCCGACTCAAGCGCACACAGTAAGTAATTAAATATAAAATAGCGTTAGCTTTTAATTATAAAAAAATGCCTATAGTAAAATGAAGTTTAAAATAAAACTAACTACTTAAAATTCCATACCAACTATATAAATATTGAGTAAAAGATTTTGTTAGAAATGCGTACGTCATGTATGAGAACGTGAATGTAAATAATTATTTTTTCTATTTGTTATCATTTCTGTGTTGAGTATTTTAATGTTAATATTTTTACTAATCCCAAACAACTTTGAACAGCTGCAAGGTAATGGGTATTGTCGGAATGTTTCGGCTTTAGTGCTTCAACACTATGTTACTAAAACTTCACAAAGTGTTTATTTTCGAGTAGCGGTTGTCTCTCAGCAGGCAATGACAAACTCTCGACTAAATTGCTACCATGGCTGCTCACAAATTGTCTACGATGTTGGCTTAAAACCCGTTCCTTTGTCGGCTATATTAATAGTCAATAAGACAACGGCAACATAGATTTCTTTTCCGAATAAACAATGCCAGACCAATCAGCTTCAGACTAATCACCTCGCATAGGTATAGGTTACGTTCGGTTTATAGGCGTTCAAAATCTGGTATTTTTTCAAATATACTATCTCTTTATCTGTACAACAATTAACTAAGAAATTGAATATGAGTTGATAGAGAGAGATACAGGTACAGCATGCGTATGAGCGCTGAAGTTGAGATACGATGAGATTGGTTTGGTTGAGTTAAATAAGGTATTTTGTGAGAGCTATCTTCTTCTACTAGCTACTGGGGTTCTGTGAGCAAGCTCAGCTGGCCATTAGGGTTGCATCGACACAAGTCCAGCACATTACTGAATTGTCTCAAGAAACTTCTTTACAAACGGCAGAGTTTTTGGTTCATATCTAGGAGGCTCATACTCCATAACAAACAGTTAGTATTTTGTTTCGCTCTGAGTGCAGGCTTTGCTAACAAAATGGCGTGTGAGTTGAAAAGCTCTTTGAACATGTATCCGATTTTTCTTTATTTATTTATACTCTATATTTCGTTACATTGCACTTTCCAGTGGCGTCGCTCCCCCAGTCTTTCCTCTAAGTAGCGTATCACAAACAACAATAACCAAAACAACTGAGTTTCCTCCTACACGCAATCATGAAACGCTTGCTCTTGTCTATTCGTGCTTGTTGTTGCTGCCGGAAGTTGAGAAGCCGCAAAACTTCAACTGTCAAAAGTTCTTTAATTGCCCTTAAAATGCAACAATGCGTTGCTTCATTGCTTAATTACATATTTTACAGCCACAGTCCGACACGTATTGCACGCGCTGCGCCAACTGCAAAGTTTCTGCTATATATACGAGTCACTCTCACTCCTTACCACACTCAATCGTTCGACCTCCTTGTGACTTTTCATTACACTTCCGTCGTAGCGCTTTGTAAGCCGCCTCTCACGACATACACGTAGAAGAGAGGTGGATAGTTAGGTATTGCATGACTGCGCCTTAAATGCTGCAACTTGTTTCAGGCACATCTCTCCGTTGCTTTGGTTCGACTTTGCAAGCTTTTAACGCTTGCCTAACGAACCGTCAAACCCCGAAATGCAATCATGGTTGGGAAGTTCGCAGACAGTAAACTTAAATATTGAGAAAGAGTATGTAAATTAAAACTACTTTGGTTGTAAATAAGTAATCGGAATATCTATTATGTAACATTGAAAGCTTTTAATTGAGTGCTCAATAGGCAAGTTATATTGATAAGACATAACGTGTGGTTACAAAGCTAATCCCCCAGAGTTGAGGAGGGGAACACTTAAGTACAGTTCTGTGTGAAGCCAGTTAAAAACTCCTGTATTTTGAAATTAATGCTCGACACAAGGCGCTTTGCCATCATAATAAAACTTCCGTTTTTTGTCACTTCACCTGGTCTAGAACTATGAGAAGCTGTGTGTTTTAGCTTTGATCTGTCAAAAGCGGAACATTCGATAAGCAGTTGTTAGGATAATTTAGCTCATACTTTTCCAAGCATTACAAATTTCAATCGTACCGCATAGATCCCAATTGGGCAGTGACCAGATAACTGTTCCAATGTGTTCTTAGTCAGACATTACTTAAACTTAAACGAGCTTGATCAATTACAAACAACCTCGACTGACTTCATTTCTTGAAAGCGCTCATCATAGTTATCATGGTTCTATCGACTTTAGAGCCAAAGGCACACACGTAGCGGTGGCAAGATCTCACAAAATCAATGTCTTTAGATGCCTACGCCAACAACAAATCTGCTCTGCCTCTACGCCACAGTATGCGAAAATTCCAGCAAACAGCTAATGCTTAATTATGCTTATAATTTTTGCTGCAATTAATTGCCATTTGCGCCGCGACCATAAATCGGAAATTATTTGGCGGAAATGAAATTAAGCTCTGCGCAAACTGTTCGACAAACGGAAATTGGCGTATAATCTGCTGCATGTGCAACAATTCTAGCTGCAAACAGCAACAATAAAATAATTACAGCAGCGGCGACGAAGGGAATATATACATATGTATATGCTATATAAAATGGTATGAAAATGAAGTCAATAGCAGCTTGTTTGGCCCAATTGAGACTGGTGCATTTGTAATTGATACTTCACAAATGAAATTTTTCATTTTTTTTAAACCACCCTGTATTGGCAAGTTGGCGCTGTGTCATTGCTGCGAAAAGTTGAAATGCCAGTGTGACAATTACAACATTGTCACTCAGCACAAATCTGAAGCTCGTCATGCCTGAGTAGTTAATTAAATAGCCCTCACAAAACCTTAAAAATGTTCAACATTATAGAAAAACCGTTTGTCCTTCGGTAAGCAAAGTGAAACGAATATTTATAATATGAATTAAATTTATATGTTCCCAATATCAATACTAGTAATTCTTTAAGATATATTCAAAACAAAATTAAAATTTTGATGTTTTTTTCAATAATAAATAATGTATTCTTAACAAAATTATAAACTTTGACATTTTCAATAATAAAATATAAGTTTTGAGGTTAAAGCCTTACAAAAATTCTGTTTTTATTTATTTCTACTGCACTTGAAAAACTTAAATAGATTTATTTTATTCAGTTTACCCTGTAATAGTGTTATTAGCATGGTGTCTATGCTAACAGTTTTAAAAACATTGTATTACTGCACTACGGGGGTGACCAGATATTGCAGTGTGCAATATTGTTTCAAATTTTAACTAAATTTTCGCAAAGTAATTATTTGTAAAATTTTTGTCTGAACTTATGCGTCACTTAAAAATTGTTTATTTATTTTTCAATAATTTTTCAAAAATTTAAATTTCCAAAAATTTTACATATGTATAAAATCAAAAAATTTTAAATTTACTACATTTTTACATTCTCAAAATGCAAAATTTTTAACATTTTTGAATTTTCAAAATTCACAATTTGTTAAATTTTCAAAAAAATTTAAAATTTCAATTCACAATTTGTTAAATTTTCAAAAAAATTCAAAATTTCAATTCACGATTTTTTATTTTTCCAAAATTTTCAAATTTTTTAATTTTTTTTAGAAAATTTGATTTTAAATTTTTGCTACCATAATTTTTTATTTTCTTATTATGTTTATTTGTATAACACACATTTATAATATTATTCTATATGTTCAATTTGATTACTCAGCAGCCAAGTTAAGTTTTATTACAAACATTCCAGTTGTAATCGCATAACAACTATTATTGAAAAGCGGTACTTCACACCAGCAGGGAATCAAAAACAAACTTACATATACATACGTATGTACATATTATATATATGTAAATACTGTGTCAACAATCTGGCCGAGGCTTAGTCTACAACTGGCAGCTTAGAATTAAGCACGCTCAAAACTTTGTAATTATTTCATACGCGGAGGAGCAATTTTATATTATAATTCCTTGAATCATAGTTTTGGAAAAAACAACAACAAAAGAATGTTTAAGACACGCTCTACGAAATTGTGCGCCTTTGTGTTGCTTATTGTCTGCAGCCTGGCAGTGCTGTGCGCTGCGCAACTGGGCAATAATAGTGAGTTAAAAAATAACATTTTTGAGAAGTTAACAAAAAAATGTAAAACAAATTAAAAAATTTAAAAAAAATTAATTTTCAATAAAAAAAAAAATAAAATTAAAAAAAATATTTAATGAAAAAAAAATTATTATGGAAAAAAAATTTTTTAATTAAAAAAAATTATAAAAATTAAAAAAAAATAAAAAACAATTTTATAATTATAAATTTCTTTTAAGTTTTCAAACTTTTTTAATAATGCTAATTTCTTTTTAAAATAACTTTTAAAATAATTTAATTTAAATTCTAATAATTTTAATTAAAAAAATCTGTTTTCTTTCATACACAATATTATGTTCTAGCTCCTAAATCCTGCCCACCACATGAGACCTGCACGCCCTGCGGTCCATCCTGTCAAACTATATGCGCGACACTAAACGAACCGTGTTTAATTAATTATATTCGTTGCCCGGATGGTTGTTATTGCGACAAGGGATATGCTCGCGATGCTAACGGTGCTTGTATACCACAAGAGCAATGTCCGCCCAAGCAATAAGAAGTTTATGGCAACTTATGAAACGGATTTGAATAAATAAACCGATTTAAAACAAAAAATAATTATGCAAGACTAATTTTTTTTTTAATTCGTATTTTTTATAAAAAAAAAGTTAATTTCAGCATATTTAACTTGCTGTGATTACAAAGCGCGCCTTGGTGATTTATTTCTTATTTATTCACAACCTTTTCGGGTAAACATTATATATTATTGTTATTGTTGTTTTATTAATTGTATGCGGTTTGGCCTCAAAAGTCAACAACTGCTGTATAAACAACTATAACTGCAAACGGCATTGATCTCCACTTAATCTTTTATAAGCGCCTAAAAGTATGCTATTGAGTTGATTTCATTTCATATTTGATCTCTAAGAGAAGTGATTTTTTTTAACTATGAAACACTTCTGTGCTATACAACTTTTCAACACAAAAACTTACATAGTTTTATATATTACACAATAACTACTATATAATATATGCAGTAGGAATATATACATATGTATATACACATTTGTAAATTTCAAATAGTAACATAATTTCATTTTGCAACAACAAATTTGCGTCGCTTTAATTGGTAATCAAATGCTGTTAAACGTTTAATGTGTATAAGCGAACTACACCCAAAAAATTTTGTTAATAACTAGTTACATTGAAAGTAGTTACTCAACTACTTCACCATAAACTAGTTTAAAACTAGTTTGTGCGCCTTGGTTTTTTTTAAAGAAATAAATTGCGCTTGTGTGTGTATTTCCAACTAGTTTAAAACTGGTAACTTGTAAGTAGTTGTCAAACTAGTTGCGTTGTTAGCAATTAATACAACTAGTAAATTTATTTTTGGTTACACTAGTGGCATATTATAATTAGATAGAATAGTAAAAATATAATTGGAGCTCACAGACCTCCAAGTGTTATACACTGTTATTAATGTTATGAGATTTTTGACCTAAGTTCGCTATCCATTTTTAGATTTTAAAATAATTACATAGCCTCAAAAAAATTAATATGCCTTTTATGTCGGACAATTAATTAATTTCGCATTTTCTTTAACAAATGCTTTACGCAAGCCTTTGCAAACCTGCCACACTTTCTGCGCTGTTGGCAACACCGCAGAGTTTAGCCAACACTTTATACACCACACCTGCACCAATTGGCCAAGTGACAGGTAAAACACGCACACATGCCAAACAGCAATAACAACAACAGCGAAAACATCAAAAACACAACATTTTTCAGAGTTGACCAGCATTCAGCGGCCGCTCACAGCGTTCAGTTCTCTTCGGCAACGCGAGCGTGTTACAACTAGCAGAATTCGTTAAGCGGCAAAACGCATGCGCAAAGCCACTATTTACCCACACAAGCATAAAGTGGCACACACACAAGGCTGACAAGTGATATACGTATGCGGCCTGTTGTGTGAGCAGCGCATGTGCGCGTGTGCAGAAGTAGAGAAGTTGAAAATCTATATGTAAAAAAGTGTTGTAGAAAAAATGCAGAAAATCGTGCACGCAAATCGAGAAAATGCTGAAAATTTCAATGAAAAAGCATTGAAAAGTATGTGTGCTATGATTTTCGAAAACTTCAAGCGCGTGTGAAGTGCAAAAAGTTTAAGAAATTTGGCTACAAAAAAGCTAAATTTTTTACAACTACAAAAATGAGCAAAGTTGTATAGGTAAAGAAATAAGAAGTGTAGAAAAATTCCAATAGTAAACGTGTCGTCACAGCGCCCGAAGCGGCGAAGTGTGGTAAAAACAGAAAACGAGTGCGAAAAAGTGTATGCGATTTGTTTGTAAAGTGTGTAAAAGTCAAAATGTTTATTGAAAATGCTATTGAAATTATAAGAAAATTTATGTCAAAGTGCTTTTGCCGCATAAAATGAAAGAATAAGGCAAACTGGCCTTACAAAAGTGCATTTCAAAGCAGTGCACAACGTTTTGTGGCACACATTCCTATATCAAGAAATACACACACATGCACACAGTGCGCTAGATTGAATTCGCACGCAGTTGAAGGCGCACTTGTGGCGTGCAGTCTAGCATTTCACGGTGAGAAAAACAAATCAAACTAAAAATAGAGCAAACCACATTGATTAGGAGCGAAAGAATATAATATATGGCAGGTCTTTCCAACAAAATACTATACTATAATATTATATACATACATTGGTAAATACTAAAACTGACTTTATGTATCTTATAAAGAAAAGTATAAAAAATAGTTTCAAAATACTTTTTCAGCGGTTTGTTTTTGACTAGTTCATTTTTCACTAGTTTGTGACTAGTTTGATTGACTCTGCTACAATTTATAATAATCTACTTACCGAATTGTATATATTTCGCAAAAAAAATACAAAAATGGAATTAAAACATTTTTCTTAATGTTGTGTTTATTGACTGCAAGTAGTTCATTTTTCACTAGTTTGTGATTTTTACAATTTAAAATAATTTACTTATCGAATTTTATATAGGTACTTTACTAACGAAATTATAAAAATAAGATGCAAAACATATTTCTTAACGGTTAGTTTTTTGACTAGTTCATTTGTCACTAGTATGTGACTAGTTTTACTGACATTGCTACAGTATTTCACTAGTTTCGCTTTACCAAATCAACAGAAAACTAATATTTCACAAACAAAATTATAAAAATGAAATCAAAACATTTTTCTTAACGTTTTGTTTATTGCCTAGTACATTTGTCATTAGTTTGTGACTAGTTACATTGGCATTACTACAATGTTTCAATAGTTTCGCATTTCAAAATCAAAAAAAAAAACGAATTAGTTTCAAAATAGTTGACATGTAAAGTAGTTCACAACTAGTTACGATAGTTTGGAGGCAGCGCTGAAGCTGGCACAGAATTGTGTCTAATACATTCTTCACATATAATATACATATTTTTACAATAAGTTGAATAAGCTTTAAGGCATGCCTCGAGCCGAAAATAAGCTTAAGACCAGCTCAAAACCAAGCCTTGGTAACTTAGACACATCCATATCCAACGGGTATAAGCTATACGTTGACGCCCAAAAAATCGTTACTGCATTAATACAAGCTTTTAAAAATTATTTTTTAGAAGCTAAGACTTTATTTTGATAACTTTTAGCCGATTAGTACACATATTTTTGTTCTTATTGTAAAATAATAATATTCAGAAAATCGCCTAACTTGCAAAGTAAAATGTATATTAAGTAACTCCTTAAAGTCCTCAACTGCGCCTAAAATAATTTTTTATTCATAATTTTAGGCGCACCACACTGTATGCATCTCATTTCATTCGCTCAGCCGCTTTGGCTTGAACTTCTCAATCAATTCATGTATTAATTTAATAAAAGCGCACAGAAAAAGTTTGCAATTTATTGCTCGGGTTGTAAAACAAGCTTATTTTGAGCAATATTCTGCAATAAAGTATGATGCTAAATGCTTTTCCGCGCTTGCGCTCTACTATTTAATAAAATTTTGTATCTCAGATTACTCAAATTGGCGCATATCCGTTAGTTCACTACATACTATGCGCCACTGCTTTTCAAGCACTCTCTATAAGTTAAATTTATTACGTATAGAATTAATTAAAATTATAACTTAATTCTTAATTTAATGTCACTTAAGTATTGGCTTAGCACTTTTTAAACCGATTTCATTTATTGCTTGAACCGCTGCAATCTTCTGTTTTTTTCTTTGCTACTTTCTTCTACTAGAGTAGTATTTCATATTTATTTTTTAGCACTTTTTTGTGTTCCCTTGTGAATGTGTCACATTTCCACAAGCAAAAACGAATATAAATATATATATGAAACTGCATAAGAAAACAAAACGCGAGAAGAGGCTACAATGCGGGCCAAACAAAGCAGATAAAAGCAGATTTACCAACATCGCATGCCAGCGCTACCAAAATAAAAACACAAAACAACGAAAATATATATTTTTACACAACAGCAAAGTTTGCATTAAAGGAAGGAGGCGCTGGCAGGGGAAACGGTGAAGTTGCATAACTTGTTTCGTAAAAATTTCGCAGCGTGCGCTTTATCTTGACATTATTTGCTTTTTAAAGCATTACAAATGCAACGCAACAACAACACAGTGCCATATTCGCTTCGCTACACTTGATGATTGCCCAGCTTTGTGGCACTGCTGGCAATCAGAATAATGCCATTAAATTACTTTATTATGCATATGCATGTATAAAATTGCGCCGTAAATATATGCAAATGTTGGAGAATATTCATAAAAATGTGTTTCAATGATTTGCATGCCGTGCATGAGTCAATCTGCGCCGCCAAACAGTCTGCGCGGATTGGGTGTATTCAAATGATTTCGTTCGCAGGTGGCAATCGCTAATTTATGATGACTTGTTGTTGTTGTTATTATTTTGAAAATTGCCATAGATGGCTTGTGCTGTTGTTTTGCATTGTTAATGCGGCGCAAGTTCATGAACGCAGCGCTCCAAAGTCCACTGCTGCGCTCCCACTGACGAGCAAGTTCGTCGCTTAAGTCTTTTGTTTTTATCGCAAATCGCGCAGGCGTTGCGACTTCTCGCTTGCATTTGTTTGCATTTTTTTTTTTTTTTTGTATATCAGCAAGCCTTCGCAGCAGCTAATTAACCAGTTGTCACTGCTGTCATGTTTGTTGTATTTTCGATTTTATATTTTTTTCCACTTTTTACTCAGAAATTATTCAAGCGATAAAATATGGAAAAATCGAAATGTGACTAATTGGCGGCAAAAATGAAAGATTTCTTCAGTTGCACTACTTTCTGCTTTATCGTTTGTCAATTTTCCAATTATTTTTATTTCAATACAGTTGAAAGCTGTCATATGACAGCAACAATAAACCACATTATAGCTATATTGCTCCAATAAATTGAAATTGCTTGGATTATTATTATTAAAAATTATTTTTTTAATATTCCGGTTAGCAATTTTAAAATCATTTTTTATTAATTTTAATTTTCATTTAATTTAATTTTTTCAATTTCCAAAAATATATACGCTCAAGTTTTTTAAGTTTATGTACAATAGTATTAAAAAAAATTATTAGCGCTTCAAAAAGTAAGTTTATTAGATAAAAATT